TCCCCTCCCCCTGTAAGGAACGGGAGAAAGAGACGGGGGAAAAGCAAGAAAAGGGCGTGGAAACAAAAAGGGCACTCAAATGGAATCGAGAAAAAAAGTGACGCTCAATCCAGAATGGGACACGGAACCGGTTTTCAAGATAATTCCTCAAAAAAAAAAAACTGTAAAGTTACCCGCCAGACGCAACTGCTGCAGAGATGCCTCAATTAAAAATAATAACACGTTTTTGTACTTTTGAGCTTGTCGTTGGTCGTCTCACGGGCTGTACAAACGTCTTGCAGAGCTCCTGGAAGAAGGGCATCTCCCTCAGCGTCGTCCTCCAGATCAAAAGCCAAAGCACCATAATGAAGGTGCATCCCACGCCAAGCGTAATAAGCACACACGACACGCTGAGTATGACATCGCTCAACTCGCCAGTGATGGGAAACATCCTACAGCGTTCTAAATGACAGAGGACACGGACTGAGGCAAAAAAAAAAAAAAAAGATTGTCCACACCGTGTATGCAGGAAAGCATGCAAATAATAAAAAACAGAAAAAACAGCAAAAAAAAAAAAAATAAAGAAACCCCCGTCCTCCTTCGACCCCACCCCCCAAACGTAATGAAGATTCTTCACAAAATACAGTCTTCTCGGTGAGTCAATATTAATTATTGGCGCAGCTGGACTCGACTCACGAAGACGAGGGGGTGTAGGGGCGCTCGCTGCTTGGCCTCAATTGAGATGCATTCAAAGAAGAGAGTTGAAAGCACTCATCAACACGGCTTGTAAGTGAGCCAAGTGCGTGTGCATTCGTAAACGTCTTCGATTGACTAAAGTAGGGGTCTTGCAATAGCTCCTCTGCGGTCGGTCTTTTAGACGGAACACGATTGCAACACCGCATAATTATTTCCTTCTCTTGGGCTGAAATTTGCTCGTCTAGTTGAGGTACAAAATTCTCATTATGCCCCACGTTGTAGCAGAAGGTCTGAGGTGTCATTTCCTCCATGTTTGACCAGGGAAGCCTGCCACTTAACATCTGCGCCATCATAATGCCAAAGCTCCATATATCGGATGCCTTCTCCGCCCTGCCTCGTGCAGCTTCAGGGGCGATGTACGGTGGAGTTCCCTCCGGCTGGCCGCTGTTACAAGCTTTCAATAGACATTTTGACGTCCCAAAGTCACTCAACTTACACAGACCTGTTTCCAGCAAAAGAACATTTTGTGGTTTAATGTCTCGGTGAACAATGTCTTCCCGATGCAAATACACAAGTCCCTTCAAGACATCCCGCAGGTACCGTTTTGCCTGATCGACCTTAAACTTTGTGAACTTGTGCAGCATGTTGTAAAGACTCCCACCACTTGCAAACTCCATTACAACAAGCAGTTTATCATTTAATATGGCGCAAGATATGTATCCAACAATGTTGGCATGACGCAATCGCGACAGCAAACTCACTTCATTAATAACGGTATCTAACGCCTCATCCACGTTTACATCAACGTTAATACCTTTTCTGCGCAGGCGTCGACGGTTAACACCGCTCATTTGATTGAATGCGGTGTGCGTTATTCTGGGCAGTTGAATGGCCTTTATGGCAACCAAAGCACCTGTTTGCGATAAGCCCATAGAGACAATTCCACTCACCCCTGTGCCCAAAATACGGTCCGACATCCGAAACGTCATGCCCTGTCGATCACACACATCGAAAACGGCAGGTGGTTTCGGTGCTTCTGACAACGGAGGGAAACTTAAAACGTGGTCTCCACTCACGAAAAAATTCGGCCGCGGTTGAATGACTCCACAGGGGGGCACCGCTAATTCTGTGCATGTGCCCGAATTCCTCAGAATGGCGTTTCGAAGTTGATCCTCAACAGGAGTTACCTCCGGCTTCCTCCAGTGATAAAACAATTTGTTCCTTTGCGTCACGGTGCTGTCATCTGTTTCCTCAACCGGAAACATTTGCCACTGGGGGACTCGCCGCTGATACGTCCCTCCACTCCTCGCAAGATACGAGCATAACTGGCCCATTCGCAAACCCCACCGATCCTCACAATTCTCCCTGGAGAGCTTCAAATACATGCGCTCTGCAAGGTCGTATTCACCCGCCTGAAACCTTTTGAAGGCCTCCGTAATTCTCTGAAGAGAAGGGACGGGCTTGTTCACAATTTCGTAAATGACATGTCGACGCTCATCCACATCAGTCACATATTCTATTGGAACACATGTAAAAAACTCGGAACAATTTTCAAACAAAGTTCCTGTACATGCATACTTTACGCCCTGCGCCATCAACAAAGAGGGTAACGCCTCTCCAAGGGAAACACATCTTCCATGCACCACCATGGCGCGTTCGTCTTCTGAGCCAACAGTTCCAGCCAAAACACAGCCTGAGGTTGCCACCACGACTGGTGTTAATTCTAGGCCCATAGGGATAAATACCTTAGCAAGAAGGGACTCCAGAGCTAAAATGGCCTCACAGACGCACTGCATTCCAGCCCTTTCGTGATCCGGCGTCGCACTAAATGCATTCCATACTGCAGTGACCCTGTCAGGTGCTGCATTCAGAACTGTCCCATTATTTCTGTCAATGAGGTCCGTCAACACAGAAAGAAACTCTTGTGAAAAGTATTGAAAATACTGCAGGTCCTCATCCATACACACTGCGAGTCCAGACAAGGAAGCAACCACAACTGTGACCATTCTTTTTTTCAAGCAAAAATCAATGCCATTTTGGAGTTCAGCAATATTGAGGGTTCCACAGGAACACTTGCCTTTCCCATGGTTATTTATGTCCTCCTGCAACACTGATGAATACGTCTTTGGAAATTCAGTGGGGCAAGCCAAACCCTGTTTCCCGTCTGGGGCGACAGGCGAAGCAATATTCTGTCTTCTCAGCAGCGAGGAAATCTTCGCTACCATCATCGTTCCCAGGCGGTCAGATGGCCGGTTTCCCACGGTTCTTAAAATGGCCATTTCACCGGCCCTCGATTCTCTCAATTCCCCCGCAATCTTCTTGTGAAACACGGCATCGGGAAGCAATTTCCGAAACTGCCGGAGAATCAATGAAACGTTGTTGATGGAATCCTCCGTCTGCTGAAGCTCAAGCACATTGGAATAGCGCTCAAGAAGAAAAGTATGCTTCTCTGTAATAACGTCCACATCACTGTATTTGTTGACATAGAGCGGTACACTCTCCAAGCGTAGTTTGCTAAGGTGATCAAAGGTGCAGTACAGCTGGCACATTGACCTTTCAAGATCCATCAAGGTGCGCCGAATGTACCACACCGCGGCCAGTGCAAAAATAGTGTAAATAAGGATAAAAGTAATGGATGCGCCAATAAGCACATTTCGAGCACGGTTTACTGTCCAACTGGTGGCATTCACGCCACATCCCACGGCAGCATGAACGGCATCATCGCTAAAAAGTTTGTGGTACACATTAACAAATGTGGCAGAGCCCACCAGGCAAATGGCGGAAATAAAACAATAAAATGATACAGTAATGGTTGAAAAAGCCGTTAAGGAGCAAAAGGCCGAGAGGTCCGGTTCAGGCCTCTCCTTGGGGACGGAGTCTTCATCACTCAACATGCCGTGGTACGCAGCCTTCAAAGATTCTCTCAATGCGTCAACTTCCCTCCCAAATAAATAAACGTAATTGCGTCTTACCAGTAGCGCAATTCTGCTCTCTTTCTCCTACAAAGTGTTCCCGTCATAACAACGACAACAAAACGGTAAAAATGAAGGAAGGGGGAAAAACGTGATAGAGTCATGCATTCAGGCATTTTTTTAAAAAAGATAAATAAGCATAATCGACAACAATAATATTTCAGTTGTGTGGTAAAAATGTATAGGGCAACGTCATGTGCATACCACGGCAATTTAAAAAAGCCTTCACCTCTCCGAGAAGACAGAGTCCATAAAAACAAGTTATTAAAGCGCTGGAAACCTGTTTGCACACTGGTGCACGCACGGCCCACCATGACACGTCTTCTCGCACGTTTTCCCACAACATCTCAATGGCTTTCCGCACTTCTTTCCGCACGAAATAGACTGTCTAAAACAAGGAAAAAAGTACGGCATCACTTTTTTGTGTGATGCACACCTCTTTTCCACAGGCACCACGCAGACGGGGCATTTTTCCTCAATGTGGCACGGATGGTTCGCCGGATGGCCACAGGGTCGAGGAACCACACACTCATGGCTGCAACTTGGAGGTTTCGTGCCGCATGGCACTGGAGGCTCAATCCATGACCGTCGACAGCGACAATAGAGCCTCTCGTACGATACAATGCTACATGGAGAGCAAGCCCCTTTGTGGCAAAGTTGACCGCAAGTGTGAATGCCACAAGACAAACGTTTGGTGCAAATTCGGTAGCATTTGTGATCCTCATTGGAACAGCAGATCTCTTTACATGTATGTTTGCCGCATGACAACTGCTTTCTACAGGGTTTGTTACATTTTGGGGGATAACAAAGTGCCACATTCTTTACAACGTTTGACTTTGCAGCAGCCTCTTGCCATTCCTCTGGAGGTAAGTAGCTGCAAAAACAAAAATATTCAATATTGCTGGATCCACACGCACACCTGGACGTGACCACCTCAACACAGGGTGGGCACACAGGACCTTCATGACACAAAAAGGAACAGGTATGATTGCACGGCAGTCGCGCCCCACAAACCAGTCCACAGGAAGGAATGGGGTCCAAACAGGACTTCCTTGGGGAATCAAGAAGTTGTCGTACACGCACCTTGCCACAGGGACAGAACGGTTGTCGCTCAGGCACCCGTGAGCAAGGCTTGCAAGGTCCCTCATGGCATTTGACCGGGCAGTTGTGATTCCCACAATCAAGCGGCTTCCCACACACAGCGTTGCAAGAAAAAGGAACGTTTTCACCACAGCGCAGTGTTTTTTCCATGGCTCCACAATGGCATTTCGTTGTTGCAAGCACCGTGCAGATCGGGCATGGTCCTTCGTGGCAGAGGGCGGTGCAGTTGTGGTTCCCGCAGTCAAGCAACTTTCCACAGACTCCGCCGCAGTTAAAGCCGCGCACCCCGCTCGAGCATCCAACGCTCATTTCCGAATTACCGCAGTAGCAAGACTGCAGACGTGTCAAGGAACAGGGGGGACAAGGCCCTGGATGACACATCAGCGTACAGGGATGCACACACTTCGGATCATCACGACGCTTTTCGCAGGTCTGGCCACAAGAACCCGGCACCAGTAGAGGATCATCGCATGGGTCCTTTACTTTACCGCAGAAGCATTTGTATTCCGCCAGCGCATCGGTTGGATTAATCAATCGGCAAAGAGGGCAACAAAACTCAGTTGCAACGCAAGATGTATTGCCTGAAGTTCCCCTCTGTTTTTCTCGCTCCTCAGCCTGCACCTTCACCCAAAATCTAACGCATGACAAATGCACAATCCCATGACATGCCGAGCAGGCCCAAAGTTTGTCACGGAGACGAACCAATTCAGAACAAACCGCACACTCATATGAGCCCTCCTTCAGTCGTTTGGAAATAATTTTTGCGAGCTCCGTCTCTGTCTCCATGAAGTCTTAATTCGCCAAAACAATAAAAAAGCACAGGAAAAACTATATACAAAAACACACAACAATATTATATTTCAAAAGAGAAATGGACCTAAAAAAAAAAAAAAAAGCAGAATAATCTTCCGGGCCGCTGGCCAAATCCTGAGTTTCTCAATCATAGAAAACAAACAAGATAGAAATAAGTGAGGGATCAACGGAATAAGAGTGGGGATTCACCACATCCTCAAAGTGTAGCACCCAGGAAGTGCACATTTATACTTGTATAACATCCGTTATCCACAGTCGCGGCCCGCCCACTCTATTCGGATGGGATGCATACATGCATGCATGCATATTTATTTATTTATTCCTTTCGACGTGACAGAGTTTGGGGTCCTTCAGCCACAACACCCCGCTGCGTGTTGAGGATCAAAAAGCGGGTGAGCGGGAAGATGAAATTAATAAAAATAAAAAAATTATCCGGCCGCTATCGGTTCCCTGCTCTCCCCAACCAATAAAGTCGTGTACGTCACAAAAATTCATACGGTAGAAAAGCGTCGTAAAGAAGTGTATTCGTTTTATCAGGACACACACACATATAGATATATATAGACGTTCATTAAGGCAGCCAGCTTCCCTCGCGATCATTCTCTTCACAAGAACCTTCAAAAAAAAAAAAAAAGGGATCGTACAACATAAAAAAAGAAAAAACGCATTAAGAAAAATGTCAACGGTACCAAGGGAAAAGAAAAAAATGTGCGGCCTCATCGATGTTGGTGGTAACAACTCCCTCTCAATCATGCACCTGCCATGTATGCTCCGAGATCTCGCCTCACGTCGGGGTTGTTGAGCATCTCATAAAAATTTAAGCACTCGGCATGTCGGAGTGCTGGCGTACAAAAGGGCGCAACAAGTTTCTTCCGTGACACGTCCTTCACCATCCAGTAGCACCAGGGGACTACGCTGGACAATCTCTCAGCCGTATCCAGGGCTGGAATAAGAACCTGATCCGCATCCTCTACGGTCTCATCTACAAGCCCAATTTTTTCTGCAGTCGACGCATCCACAAGCTCCCCAAGCTGAAGAAGTTCTTCACACACTCTATGCCCAACAACATGTGAAGTGAGAGCAGCAAAAGATGGCGGAACCGTCAATCCACATTTGGTGGCACTGAGGCCGATTTTAAATGGTCTCCCCTCATCCCCCGCTTTTGCAGCCATGACCCTGTAGTCCGACGCCAGGGCAATGATACAGCCAGCGCCAAGGGCATCTCCATTTATGGCTGAAACAAGAGGAACTGGAAGGGTGTTGAGGGTAACATACACCTTTTGAAGCAAACCCCAGTAATGCATGAAGGACTCATATTCCAATTTCGCGTGAAGCATTTTTAGGTCCAGACCCGCACTGAAAGCACCAACAAGTGCGGAGGTCAAAACGATGCCCCGGCAGGCATCCTTCTCGGGGTTGCAGAGCTCACTGATTGCATCCAAAAGATCGCTCATAAGAGATGCTGAAAGAATGTTCGCCGCAGGATTTTTCATGGCAATAATCTTGACATCTTTTATTGGCGATTCCGTGACCTCGACTAGCCGTGTTGTCTGAGAGCATTGCGTCCCTCCCGTGCCGAAATCCCGTCTGGCCACCGCACTCAAAAGCCGCCGCACATGTCTACCTACACGCATGTAAACCTGAAGAAAGGCCCCCACAGGCCATCCGTCGGCACCCCACAAAAAAAAAAGGAAAAGACAATAATAATCAGCATAAATCACAACAACTCCCCAATTGCCAGTTTTCTCATGTCAATTTATGCCGCTCCTGTTTTGTTTTGTTTTGTTTTGTTTTCTTTTTTATGTGTAACACTTGTTTCGTTTGATTGAGTCGTCTCCAATTGTGACAGCACGCGCCCCAAGTTTCTGAGCAGAGAGCGAGCCAACGAACCCAGATCCGCGGTGTACCCCCTATAACAAGCACGCACGGTAGGTTGGCCTGCACCTTCTTGCAGGTATATCAGCGTGTATGTAGGGAGGTTGCGTCCGGATTTATGTGTAACGCTACTTATTTAATCCTGAGCAGCACGCAAAAAGAAAAACAAAGACCGGTAAAACAAGATGCAGCTGCGTCAGGATGCAAAATTCTCAGAAAGTTAAGAAAAAAAAGAAAAAAAAAACAGCTAGGATCAAAAAAAAGAGATGATGCCTCCTACACCTCACATTTCATTTACTCAAATACCATTGCCAAAGCCTCTATGCGAAAACAACAACAGCAAATTTTCTTCCGGAGACAAACGTGGAGAGAGAGAAAAAGATGGGGGAAACAAAAAGAAATATATATGTATCTATATATTTTTATAAGGTGCGCCCAATTAAAATCTGCGTGGGGGAGGAACTGCGCTTCCAGGATTTGGCATGCGAGCTGCCTTTCCCCTGGTCGGAAGCGGCGCAGCCCTCGATGTGTTTCCTACACGAGCTCTCTTCTGCGGCCTGTCGTCATCGCCATCGGATGTGTACCCGCGTTTACGGTCCTGAGCCTCCGCACGGCGCTCCATCTCGTCCCAGCTCAGCACACTTTCCTCATCTTCATCGTCGCTGTTGTCGGGCTCGCTTTCTTCATCCTCGAGAAAAGAGCTTCCTGTTTCGTCCGACTCCTCGTCCTCATCTTCGTTGTACGTCGAGTCATCGGTGTCTGAGTCCTCCTCCTCCTCCTCCTCGTCTCCGTCAAAGTCGTTGTTGAGTACCGCCCACCCCGCGCCGGGTCGCCACGGATCCCATTCTGCATCGTCAAGAATTGTTTTGAGCACAACCTTCCAGTTGGGATTCACGGTGGTCTCCATGTAATACAGCCGTGATGCAAGGCACCAGTCCTTAATCACCTCCAAACTGCTTCTCGGAATTGTTGTGAGAGTCACCGCCGGTTTGTTGTAGTCCTTAAAAATAAGCGACATGTCAAAAGTGGATCCACCCGGTATGACACGCTCCAGCGACACCACCTCGATATCCGCCACCCGCTGCGTGAACGGTGGTCTGTCGGAGATTGCCCAGAGAACCTCCCTGTTAGCTTTGAAGGTGGTCAACCCCTTGGCGTGAACGCCCTCAAAAGAAAAGTTACTCACAGGGATCTGCGTCTTTATGTTACTCATCTTCTCCACAGCCTGAGCAAAGCGCATAAATTGCTTATTAGTCTCACTAATACGCGCTTGTTCACGTTCTTCAGCCGCAATTTCTTCATCGTAAGATTTCCTTCCACCCGTGACAGCCTCACTGCTTTCCATGACATCGGCCACAAACTGCACTTCATCCACGCTTTTACGAGCAATCTCTACTCCCTTTTTTAAGGTAATGTGATAAATGACGCGGATGGAGTTGACAGCTGGCTGGAATATGATGTGTTTAACATTATCAAACAGTATGTCAATTGGCACCCCACCAATAAACGAGAAACGAAGTCCGTTCTGATGAAGCTCAAGGTTCCCGATGCAATCCTTGTTTTGGCGGCCGGTTGTGGCTGTTGGTCTTATTTTAACTTGAGGGAGCCGCAGTGAATTTGGTGTGACATTTAGTTTGGTTCCTCCTGCGGTTGTAGATATCCTCCGCCGTTCTGTGTCTCTGTTCTTAATCCGCTGGTGGATGCCCTGGATGGCAATCTTCACCTCTGAGAAAACATCGGAAGAAGCGCGATAACTCAATTCCTTTACGAAAATCTTTGTTCGATGAAGCCGGTACGCAATATTTGCCTCTTGCAACGAATGAAACGTCACAGTGCAGGTGACATATTCGCCCTCTGGTTTCACGTCCACTTTATTGATGGTCGAGACGTGGAATGCCGCAATTTCCCCGCAAACAGGAAAAAAAGCAACTTCCTTCTCAACGTGCACGTAGATGTCGTTCCGTGCTTGTAGTGGTAGAGTGCCCTCCTTGGGATACGGAATAATATCGCCATACGCAAGGCGGCCCATCTCGTATACGCGCAGTTCTTCAGTCGCAGTTGTTGTTGCCTTCTTCCCCCCCGCGGCAATCAGCTCCGCGTGTAATTCTCTCAACAGGGACTTGAGTTTTTCCTCCCGAGCGGCTTCCCTCGACAAGAGAGGAACGCTGCTCTGTCCCTGACGGGTAATCTTGTTCAACTCACGTGAACTGACGTCAAAGGCTTCCTCTTGCATCCCCCCCTTCGTAAAGAATTTCCTCCAGCTTGCGGGTTGTCTTCGTGTTAAGTTGGGCCGCACCGTTTTTGATCGTCACGGTGTCAGACAACTCCAAGTCAAAACTCTCCCCGCCGCCATCCGGCACCCCCTCAAGCGTCACACGCACAACAAACGTCATCCCATCCGCAATGGTCGCGGTCCCCTTTTCAGAGATGGTCCCTCGAGCCTCAAGCACCATAAGACCAGTGGAGAATCCCAGAGAAGTTGGCAAATGTTTAGCCAGTGTTTCGTTGGTGGTTCTGGCGTGGTTTATGGCCCCCGTGTACACTTCATTTAGTCTGGTGCCCACTCGCAGCAGCTCCATCACCTTCTCGCTAACAGAATAAAGAAAATGATATGCATCTTTCGCATTGGAAGGTGCATTGGCCTCCACAATGAGCGTGCGAGCAAAAAAGGCTGTGTAGCCGCAGTTCTTTACACCGTAACGGACAACAATGATGTCCCCCCGCAATGGCTGGGTGCTCAGTTTAGTCACCTGAATTTGGGATTCGTACGTTCCACGGTGCATGACGCATGGTGTCAGGCCCGACGCAATGGAAAACTGGGAGATTTCAAGTCTTTCGAGACCCTTCACTGTGTTTGGCATCTGAAGCCTCTGAGAGATCTCTTCCTGAATGGCACTCAACGCCCTTGGGTGTGTTCTTTGTGTCTCCTCCTCGATTAGTCCGCGTATAAATCGTCGGAAGACGGCACTGCAAAGACCTGCCGCCTTCTCCACACATGACAGCGCCGCCTCATCCTTGATGAAAAGGAATTCACCCAACAGTGGCGCCACCTCCACCGTCCTCTCGGCAGAAACGAGATTTCGAAGCAACGGAATGAGTTTGGATGCAAAATCCCCTTCCTGAATGGCCAACTCCTTCTGGCAGAGCCCCACAGTTTTGTCCGCGAGAAAAGACGAAAGTGCATCGGCACAACTGTCATCGTACGGAATAGCCGTATACGTGTAGGAGTCCGTGGCCGGTGGTAATTCAATGGACACCCCGTTGTGGACGAGACAAAGCTTCTCCAAAGAGAAAAACAAGGCGACATCGCACACTGTCTCAGGGGACGTAAAGAGGTACTGCAGGATGGCCTGGCTGCGCTGGTTCTCAAGTGTCGTCGGTGTCAGGGCGCCAAAAATACAACCAAACATATCAAATTTCTCCGCCGTGGGCTGAGCCCTTTTCCACGCGGAGAGAATATCTGCCACACGCGTTTTAGATAAAGTTAAGGCCGACATTAATATCCGTAAACACACACACGCACACACCCAATACTTAAAAAAAAAAATAGTAATAATCTCTACAAAGCAATAGAACGAAAAAAGAGAAGGTACATCCACGTGCCAACGAATCACACGCACAAAACTCGTGAAAAACAATACTACACCCGCTTCATGGAGAATCGCAATAATTTGCTTGCGAACGCATATATATATGTATGCACGTAGGTATTTACCTTTTCATTTTTTTTTTTTTGTTTTGTGTCGTGGGCATTTTCTCTCCACTCTCAGAGTCGCCGAGACGTCAAGGATTCCAACACTCTCTACTTGACACGCTTGTATTTCAAAATCTTCGCACGACGCGCCTCTTCCTGCTTCTCGTGCGCCCTGGTTCGCAGACTCATGAGCTTTACTTTTCTTGCCTTCTGCAGGTTCTGTCGATACTTTTTACGCGCCTCAAAGTACTTTTTCATATCGTACACCTTTTTCTTTGGAGCTGCTGTCGTCGGCCTGGCACTCTTGGCGTCTTCCACATCCGCCTGAGAAACCAACTGCGACGCCGCAAATTCATCCCGGAAGTACATGTACAGCGGGGGGCTCATAAGTTGGCACTCGTCCGTTGACAGCTTTGACAGATCCTCCTCCTCAGAAGGAATGAAAGTTGGAAATGCGGGAAGCCCCCGGTGTTCGTTCCACAGAGTGTAGCCCTTTGTGTTGATCGTGTCGCTAAACTTCACATATGTGCCAACATCCGCATCAATGAGCGTTGGAAGGTAAATAAGAGCGTTTTTGTAATCGATACGCCAGACAGGCACACC